GGGGGACCACGGAGGGGGGGGGGAATTACATCTTTATAGTGACATATTAGATTCTGAAGATGTACTAGCGGTTGTCCAAAGTAGGTGTAAGTGGATTGTATGATGTCTTGATTATCATAGCAGAAGAAGTGGATTAGCTGAGCCTCAAGTTTCTTCTTTGTGAACTCGTTCAATACAAGATGACTCATCAGTATCTCAACCATCAATTTCCATCGCTGTGGATCCGCCACACCACGAACATTATCGAACCATTCCTTAACCGGCTCCAGGTCCCCGCGGTCTGCTATAGTGCATGTGGCATTCACCTGGGATGCTTTTAAGAGAAGGGGGGGGGGGGGGGAGGGGGGAGGGGGGGGGAGGGGATAGGATAGGATAGGATAGGGTGCTAGATGAGGGGGGGGTGGGTGGTGACTGTTTGCTGAACGTGTTGTTACCGTAATCATCGATGGCTAGCTTGTTGATGTCATCAGGTAGTGCGCTAAACCGTTGAACGAGCTGAATCAGAACTGTATTATTTCCGTGAAATATTGGACATAATGTTGTTAGATATTCTAGCAATATCCTACAATTGTCCTTGGCAGTGTACAAAACATTCACACGGTCGCAAACATTATTTGGTATCAATGGCAGATTCAGTTTTCTACAACAGTCGAGTAAGTGTGTGCCTGTAGAATAATGGAATACAGTGTGTGTGTGGAATACTGTTTGTTGAGGTGTGGAGCATGTGTAATTACTTGTAGGCGTTGAACAGCTGGACGATTCGTTGGATGGTTGTCTCCATTCTCTTATATTGTATGGTGGCGTCCAATCCTTTGGTAGAAGTGGGGTTAAGAATGGTATTAAGCATTGGGTTGGAGAGATAGCCTCTGACGGTCATGGCTAGAAGGAGTACAGTGATTTGCAGTGCGAGTCTGTTAACGACAGCCTCACACTGGGGTAGCCAGACTAACACGTTGGAGAGGCGGATTAGTTCTTGAATGCAGTAAGATTGATAATTGAAGATGGTGCCGCATTTTCGTAATTGGTCACCCAACAGGCCTGAGTAACGCGATGGTGAATACAATCGATTTATATCCAAAACCGGCTTACATCGAACGTGCCAGTTCCTCTTGAAGGGTGACTGGTAATCTGTTGGCAGCAGTTTGCTAAATCCCGACACGGTCGCAGGCATCTCATCCAATACATAAGCTACATAGTTGCACGCTCGCCGCTCGGACGTTTGTCTTCGCGCAGGACATAAGGAGTCTAGCCAATCATTGAAACGAGGCACGACCCACGGTTCTTCTCGAAACAGACTCGTGCAACTAGGCAACACGTGCTCACGCACACACCACTGAAGCAATCTACAACTGTGCGCCTCGACGATGCCCAACAACTCCTTCAACCCGGACTCCAAGAACCCGTACTCATTTGGGCACGTATCACTAAGCAAACCTTCCCGCTGGCTTTCAAACTCACCGCCTCGTTGACAGCCTAATTGGTCTTCAGTCTCATTTTCACTTCCGGCCTCCATCCCGGGACCTATTGCTTGCGTGCCAGTCTCCTCTGGAGGGTCAGTTTCCTCTGGAGGGTCAGTTTCCTCTGGAGGGTGCGTGACAATGGGGTCAGTTTCCTCTGGAAGTTTATCTGATATATTCTTCTCTGTGGCAGTCAGCTCGAGTTCCAATTTTTTACATTGCTTGTATAGCGTCCAAATGCCCGTGGCGGTGATGATCATGATTTCTTCGACTGATTTTTTGATCGTGGTGGCGGCGTCGGATGGTATCTTGGGGGGTGGTGGGCCAAATACATCTTTGGCAACCTCCGTCAGACGTTCCAGACATGCGTTGGCGAGATCACGTTTCCGTCGGTCAAGTGCTGCCGCCAGTTGTTTGAAGTGCGGATCCCGCACATCTTTCAAACAAGACCGGACATGGCAAATAACAGCCAGCCACGTCACCGCTTGATCCCACAATCGCATGTACTCGTCACTCAGGCTGCTGGTCTCCCCATCCGGCAAGGGCCCTTGCGGTGTTTGAACGGAACCGAGCTGACTCCCCGCCCCCACTGACGAGTATGTACCCAAAGAATCCTCACCGTCCGCTGAGGTCGAGTCCACACTCCGTCCACTTGTAAGGCCCACACACGTGGCACACGTGTTTATTAGTATCTCTATTGGGTCCCCCACATACGCTAATGACACTACCAATTCAATCGCCATTCGATTCCTGGCTTCCACCCTCTTCCGGTAATCCATGTTAATAAACTCATTCAACACAACTGCCGGCACAGACGTCAATCCCCTCTGGCTAGTGTCATTGATAATTGTACATATCCGAGGAATACGAGGTGTGTTCGATATATTGCACACGTTCGATATATTGCACACGTTCGATATATTGCACACGTTCGATATATTAAACGTCTTGAACACAGTTTCATCATTGTGGCTTAATCTATGGCCTAACCGTGGCTCTAATTCCTCGGCTCCTTCCTGATATAATTTGTTCATACGATGAATGGTCAGGGCATACTTCTCATACATCCGTCGTTTATAATACTCATCTGCCTTCAGTCGCAGAAACTTCATTTCCGAACAACTTTTCAACATACGCTTAACCTCCTGCATTCGACTTAATTCCTCATGCCTCAGAATTATACTTCGAGCCACACGAAAACTACTTATCCACGATTGGTCCTTGACCAAACCTTCATACTCAATCTTCGTCCTCCTTAAACCTTCAAGCCGTCTACAACACGTCATAAACATGCGACGCACAACCTCCTCATTACCAGCCAGCAACACTCTTATAGAATACGTCACCTGCTGCAACTCCTCTCTCAGCGCCGCCAAGTCTAAAACAAACCACTCTATTCAAACCCACACTCCACTAGCTTACTGGCCCCCGTGTTGTCACTGTCATTCATGAAAAAAGGCCTGTTCTCTCTGATATTCCGCCGAAACCCGCCCCGCGGCTAAGGCCCACGCCAACCCGTGTGGGGGCAAGACCCCGGGTCAAGGCCCAAGACTCTCACCCCCCCACAAGGTCTAGGCTCTCACCCAGGACGCTCGTCCCGGCTCTGGAACCAGGACTCACTCCCAGGACTCACTCCCAGGACTCACTCCCGAGTCTCACTCCCAGGCCTATTCACAGATGTACTCGACTAGACAGAGGGCGGTGCTGTGGTCTTCACCGTCGAAAGCGGTGACAAGGTACTGTTCTCTGCGGAGGTCAGGGACCGCGGGGTCTTGGCAGTTGTGTGTGAGCGAGAACTTCACTTTGGCGGTGCGTGTGTCCTGCACCGCTACTGTGACTGGGTCGCCATCGAGGTCAAACAGACGATACAACGGGTTCTGATGACTGGTGATGTCCACACTGACTGTCTTGGAACCCGCACCACCTGCCCGCTTTGCCCGCAACTGCAACACCTCGTCGCGGCACTCAAGGCTCGGCGAATTGTTAGGCAAACAGTTTATGTTAAACGGACAACTCTTCAGTGCATGGTGTCGCTTGTCCGTACTCTGGGCAAACACCACCGCGTGCTTCGTCTCCGTACCCGGCAACTCACAATTCACCGTCATTGAATGAGTATTCTCTTCATAACCCGGCAATAACACCACGGCACTCCCCTCACCCGTCAGCCGGTACAATGTCCCGCCCAACGCTATACTCAATGGCCGGTTCACTTTCGCGTCAATCGACATGTTCGAACACTCAACCGCAATCGGCTCCGACCTCGTCGTGGTGGTGGTGGTGGTCGTCGTCGTCGTCGTGGTGCTCCCCGGCGCTGGCGTCGACTCCATCCGCTGTCGCAAAAAGTCCGCTATTAATAACTGCTTCACCTCCTCCGGAATGTCGCTGATCGAACTAATGCCAGACCCCACTCCGACTCCCGACATGGACCCCGCTTCCAAGCCCGGCTCGCCCGCCATGCTTTCCTTCGCCTGCTGGTTCGCCGTCAACAAGTCCTGCTGGAACTGGCGCGTCGCCACCACCGACCGCGGCCCCGGCACCTCCTCCGGCTCCTCCAGCGCCTGCAGCTTGAACGCCGGCGGCACAATCGTCTTGCGTCCCGCCGCCGTCACCGGCGCCGCCGCTGGCGCCGCCACCGCCGGCATCGCCGGCAAACAGTGGATTTCGGCTGAACAAATCTGCTGCCCATCACGCAACAGCCCGCCACTCAAGTTCGTTAAGTACACCTTGAAACGTAACTTGAACGTCCCCACCGCATCACAGTTGAACAAAAATTGGTTCGGCACCTGAAACGACGTCATCACTCCACCCCACCGGCCCACCGGAACCTGACCAACCACGCCCACCCGCTCACTTTGATCATGGTTTGCGTCTCTTTTATATTGATGAGCACGTTGTCGTCGTCGTAGCCGGGCGGAAGCGTGATGTTGAACAGGTCGTTACCGAAGCCGCCGGTATAGAGACGCACCACTTCGCCCAGGTGCGTCTCCTTTTGCACTGCCCGACAGCGAATCCGCGGCGCCGGCGGCCGCTCCAGTTCGACGCTCGTCCCGACCAGTTCGTCGCTCATTTCCAGAGCCATACTCAACGCCTCATCCGCGTGCACCACGTGCTCCCGCAACTCGCTCGCCAACGGGTTGTAACCCGGTGGCAGTGCCCGCGGTTGACACGTCTTCGGTGCCAATAGCCCAAACAATCCCGGTGGCTTCGCCAACCCACTCAGCGAAGGCACGCAGTGCTCGCTCAACGAACACTCCGAGTCACTGAAGCACACGCGCTCAAAAAAGCTCACCAGCGGGCCAGACCCGCTCTGCGCCGCGGCCGCCAACCACAGCGACAGCCACGATAATTTCCAGGTCATGCAAACCGAACCTCTGTTGAAGCACACACGTTCGCAAACCAAAAATCGGCCAGCATTCAGACACCTGCGGACTCCGGCCGCCCCACACCCACCAGCTACGGAACAATGAAGCGTCTGCGACGTAGTCTACGGCATCCACAGCATGCCGCGCGCGCGAATCATGCTCTGCTTGTCGCTCTCCTCCTCCACCTCCTCCGTGTAGGCCGGAAGTGACTTGATGATGTCTGCGCTGATCGGCGAAGACTCCAGGTACACGTTAATCACGCCCGGCGGCGCCCGCACGGACCGAGTGAATAGCGCCAACGGCTCCTCCTCTGCGTCGTCCTCCCACCAGTCCTCGTCGTCCTCTGTGCCATGCCGTCGCGAGCCGCGCAGGCGCTTCACCATCGAGCTAAGCCGTGAATTCTGGTCCCAGGAAAGCTTCGCGTCTTTGCCCACGCCGGTGACTGGCTTCCGCACACCCGTGCTCGTGCTTGCGTGTCCGGTCTGGTCGTGCAAGTGCAGGTCGTGCAAGCGGTGCTCATGTCCGGACCGGGGCTGCCCCTGATCGGGCAGCCAGTATCGATCGCGGCCTACCTCACGGCCTGCTGGCGGACGCGACACTACCGGCGGCAGTCCTGAGGGCGGCAGTCTTGACGGCGGTAGTCCGGAGGGGGGCAGGCCGGACGGCGGCATGCCGGATGGTGGCAGCCCTGACGACGGAAGCCCAGACTCCGAGGGCCAGGTTACCGGAGCAGTAGGCGGTTGTCGGTCAGTGGCGGCTGCGGGGCACACGGTGGGGCTCATAGCAAAGCTTGCAGACGCAGGAGGTGACACTGACGGAGGAGTCATTGCGGCAGCCGGCACGGTCGGAGGGACCACCACCACCGGCAGCGTAGTCGGCGACGCTGGAGAAGGCGGTGTAGTCACGACCGAGGGCTCCTGAAGAATCTGAATAAAGGTATTATGCCGGGACGCTCGATAGGCGCGCGAAGCTAAGAACCAATTCCATGCCTCCTCGGGCACACCTGGCGGCTTCTGCAAACCTGGAGGATTTTGTGATCCTGCAGGGTTCTGCGAGCCTGAAGCATTCTGCGAGCCCGATGGATTCTGCGAGCCTGATGGATTCTGCGAGCCTGAAGGATTCTGCGAGCCTGAAGGATTTTGCGAGCCTGAAGAGTTCTCTGAGTCCGACGACCCGCCGGGGCAAGAGGTTGGTGCTGGTCTGGGGGGCACTGCGGTGGCCGTCGGGTATGTGGGGACAGTGGACAGCCCGGGTAACTGTGCTGGAGCTCTTGTCGGCGTGGTCTGCGCTTGTCCGGGTAAGTATATGGGCGATCTTGTTGGAGATAATTGCGGCCCAGTAATCGGCGACGGGGCAGCGGGAACCGTAACCACAGGCGAGGCTGTTACCATTGCGGGGACCGTAACTGCTGATGGAGCCGTAGCCCCTGATGGGGCTGTAACCACTGACGGGACTGTAGCCGCTGGTGACTGAGAAAACCCGGTCACTCGTACGGGCTGAGAAACCTCTAGTTGCGTGGGAGGCACCGTCGGTCTAAATGACGCGGTGTACAGGTCTGTTGCAATTGAAGGCCACTGCGGCGTTGCCGGAATTGTGGAGAACAAAGACGTCATTATGCTTGGCGTCGATGCCGAGCCAGAGAGTGCGGGCGACAGTGCGAAAGCAGTCGTACCTTGCATCGGTCCACCGCCTGCCGTTGACATAAGTTCACCGACTGCCGTTGACACGGGTCCATCGACTGTCGTTGGCATATCGACTGTCGTTGGTATGGGTCCACCGACTCCCGTTGGCATGGGCCCACCGACTCCCGTTGGCATGGGTCCGCCGACTGCCGTTGGAAGCGTGGTCTGGTCCCAATTGAAACCACTGGTAGAAGGTGCCATCAATGACAACGAAGCCGCGTAATCAGGAACGGTATTGGAAGGGACGGGGCCTGGTGATGCCGGTGCTCCAACTCCTTGCAAGCAGCCTATGCTGGCTCTGCATAGATTGAAGGATAATCCCCAAAGCTTCTTTGTAGCGTCATTGGTAACTATTCCAAAATACATATCAAACATTCCAGGCTTGTCACAAGTGAATTGCAAGTGTCCAGGCACTTTAGTGAGGGTCTTTAATTCATAGATATTAATTTGCATGGAATCCGGATTCATCCAGACCGGTGCAGTGATATTGAACAAATCATTCTGCGTCCCAGATAAATTCAGCGTTATTGTTTCTCCGACAAATCCTTCTCTTGAGAGAGCGCGACATGTAGTCGATGGCTTAACAAATGTCTGCATCCAATGCTCCGGCTGTCGATCGATAGTGAGTGAGACATCTGCCGGCAAAGCGGGTACCACAAAATCCTGGGCAAAGCCCTCCTGTAATCGCGATGTTGCGGTGAGGAAAGGGGCGAAGAATCCTCCGAACGGGCCCATGGTCTCCTTTAAATAGCGTTGCACACACGTGTGCTCAGCGATGCGCGCTCGATAAATCGGAGAGGTGGACCTGAGAAAGGAAGATGGTATGTCCTGGTGCTGCTTACGAATGCCTTGGAACCCATATTTAGCATTTTGAGTTCTCTGTTAACGAATGCGGGAGATCCCAGGGTAAAATCAGTGGCTCTTGGGTCCAGGACGAGGCTTTTGAACTGGCAATGGGATCCCACTAGCTGCGTCATCGGGATGTCGAGAGTGCGCATGTCTTCCAGGACATAGGTGAGTTGTGAGTTGGAGAGATTATGGCAATTCTCGTACACAATTTCTTGTAGTACAGCATTAACCTTGGAGGGAAATGTATGTACCGTGCTTCCGGTGTCGAAGAGCAAGAGATGATCACTGTGGTCGTCCGGTTGCCATATTACTTTCGATCCCCAGATAATTTTCGAGAGTCCTACGGCCCACTTATTTGTTGACTTGACAGGAGTCCATTCCGATAGGTCAATGTGGGGCTCGCTGGCCACAGTCAAGTGGCCTTCATCATGTACCGTTTCCGGGAGCGCGATGGATATTTCATAATTTGGTCCGTTGTCTTTGAAGATGCAGTCCATGCCAGGGTCGGTGCCCGAGCATGGTCCGAGCCCCAATATGCCTTGGAAGTTGAGCAGGTCGAACACATCCCCTTCCGCTATTATTGCCATGCCGATATTTGCTCGTGTGTTGAGAGGCTGGGGGCCTTGGATGGTGACCATTTCCTGACCGATAATGCCAGAGAGAACACCCGTGCCGAATTGGACGGCAATAGCGCTAGTTCCCTTTTTAAACGTTGGGCTCTTGTCATAATTGAAGGATATCCCGAATGGATTGCAGTTATGGCACTTATGACTTACCACCCACGTGTTTCTATAATGCAGCAATCCCTGCAGTTATTTCCGCACTTACGATGAACCAGTATCAACGAGCAAGTGAAGTGGTGGAGACCCTTGGCCCACTTGGGCACTGACTGAATACTTGGGAATTTGGTCTTTAACAATTAGTGCATGCCAGACCAGTGGTGTTTTCATATGAGTGTTTTGTATGCACCACTTTAAAATTAATTATGATTGAGACTAGTTATGAATCGTTGAAGAGGCACCCAAGTCAAGGTACTTTGCGGCCGAGCCGAAACTTGGACCCGACGTCGAGCATGAATCCTGCAACATACCAGGTCACATACAGGACTTCAGTTGCCCATGGCGGGGATATTCATGACCCGTGAGCTCTCTCATTTCCCATTCCCATTTCCCATTCCCATTTCCCATTCCCATTTCCCATTTCCCATTCCCGTCGTCTCCGAGCTAGAATGAGTTTAGAGTATTGGATTGGATGCATTCTGCATTGTTAGGGTGTCATTCCATTAATGCACCTACGGAGGATTTTTATCGGATAATGGAGATAATGGAGAAGGCATTGCTAGACCATTTTAAGAACCCAAAGCTGAGTCCTTTAAACCGCCGTTTGGGTCCTATTCGGCTCTTTACGCATTTGCCAGTGCATGAGGCCTTTAAGAAATACGACCAAAAATATCGTATCACAAAACGGCGACATATTCCGCCAAGTATTCACGAATGTCGACAGACCTTCAACCTGGCACAAGTCCTGGTGAGTGCACCCGGTCTCAAGTTGGTGACCTTTGATGGTGATGAGACGTTGTACCCTGATGGACACAACTTCGAGGATGGTGAATTATCTAATCTGATAATTCACATTCTCAAAACCGATTGCCATGTGGCACTGGTGACTGCAGCCGGGTATGGACAGGACCCCAGCCCGTATCTGAACAGGCTGGGTCGCTTGATCCCGGATATTGTTTTTGCCACGAGCAGAGACACAAAAATGCGAACCCGGTTCTGGGTGTTCGGTGGCGAGAGCAACTATTTGTTCAAGTAAGCGAACATGACACCATACCACACACACCATACCACAGACACCATACCACACACACCATACCACAGACACCATACCACAGACACCATACCACACACACCATACCACACACACCATACCACAGACACCATACCACACACACCATACCACACACACCATACCATACATACCAGATGGGTAATGCACGTTCTAGAATGGGTTTGTTTTTAGTCTGTCTGAGGACGGTCAATTACGTGTTGTGGCGTATCATCAGTGGGAGTCATTTTCGCCAATTGGGTTTACGGAATCTCGGAATCTTCACGAGTGTTCTCGATTGTTAGACGTAGCGGAAGTAGCATTGAGAGCGGGTGTGAAGGACTTGGGTTTACGTGCGCGAGTGATTAGGAAAGAGCGTGCGGCGGGAGTGATACCGGGTGGGTCTACAGCGTATATGCCGGTGGGTAGTGGGGCACGAAAGATCAAGCAGGAGATTCTGGAGGAGTTAGTATGTCGAGTGCGAGACGCAGTGACGGCGGCTGATTGTACGGGGATACCTTATTGCGCGTTTAATGGTGGTCGTGATGTTTGGGTTGATGTGGGTAATAAGGCCATAGCATTGAGAGTATTAAAGAGTATGCTTGCGCTAGATTCTACTGAATGTCTCCATATAGGAGATCAGTTCACTGAAAGTGGAAATGATACTAGCGTACGTAACGAAAGTCCTTGCATCTGGGTCATCAATCCCGACGAAACCAAAGCTATTTTACGCCGAATCTGTCGAGGACGAGGCATCAAAGACTACGAACAAAAAATCGTCCTATCAGATAATGAAGCACAAGTACAGACACCACTCCTCATCGCTGACCTGCTCGCCGACGAAGCCTCCAATGATGACGGCGGACAGACCGACGACTGGTAGCTAGCCACTAGTAACCAGCTAACGATGATAAGGCTGACCACGACTAAGCCGACGACGATAAGGCTGACCACGACTAAGCCGAACATTTTTAACTGGCTAATGCAAAGAACTTGGCACTGAATGCAGCACTCGCGGGGCGCACGGCACGGGTCTTAACGCGGGCTGGGTATGGCCCTGGGCTATGGTCGATGGGATATGGTCGATGGGATATGGCTCTGGGTAGGGACGCACACACGCCGTCGACAGAACGACCCAAACGAAAGCTGATGGGGGCAGGTGAGATTTCCTATTTAAAATTCACCGCGGCTGTCAAGGCCGCGCAACACCGTAAGTTACTGGCGCCTGAACAGATTGCTTGGGTCCACAGACGTTGAGTTGGGTCTACATAGTTTGGGTCGATTCCGACCTTGTGTGTTTTGTAGAGTGGTTTTCTCAGATCGATCCAAATCGTGTCTGTTCGATTTCGATCGCGGTTCACCATATGCCGGAGGATTACACCTTGCTGCTTGAAACCATCCACCGTAAATATGCGGAATTGGAGGCCTTGACGTGCAGAATGGATCCGTTGAGCGATCCGAGCGGAATAACATGCCAGAATATCAATTCCAAAAGAGCAGAAATCAGCAGACTCAAAGAACAACTGCGAAAGGTAATGACCAATGAAGACGACAGCAGCAGCGCTGATCCTCTACCAGCTGTGGTGACCCAACGAGCATGCAGTAATTAACGTTCCATTTTTTACAATTCAAAACAATATCGATCGACCAAACAATGAATTAATGAATGAGTTAATTAATTAATTAATTAATGCGCACACGCGTGCGCGAAGGTTCCGCTGCCGCCTAAATCGCGGAAATGGATCCGCTAGACTTTAAGGCTCACAAGTTCTTGGGTTATTTTAGTCTCAGAACGGTAACAAAGCCCATACACGCCGGTAATGGTTAAATTATTATTTAGGGCACATGGTTGGCCGGTTTTGTTGAGATCTTGGTTGGTTTGACAATTTGGTTGATGCTAAGTCAGATACGTCCGCAGCTGAGGCTGATCGGCAACATGTATATGCTTGTATATTTTATCGTGGGCTGCACCGGGATTGTCGCGGGTGTCCGACGGTCGCCACGGTGCACTTGGGCGTTCTTTGGATTGCTGATCTGTAGCACACTCATGTCTGGATTGCTGGGCTGTGAATTCTTGGACGTTTTCCACTTCCTCCCTCAGCCACCTAAGCACCCAACCACCGACAAGGACACTGTACCTTTATCGGCCGCCGCCAGTGTCACCCCGTTGAATGCAGTGATCAAAACGGACCCCAAGGTTCTGGAGGAGAAACAACAAGCCCGGGCTGAGACCGTGCAGAAACAAAAAGCAAAACAGGCGACTAAGGAAGCAGAGAAACTCCAAAAAAAGGCAGCAAAACTCGAACAGAAATATGTGGAAACAAAAGAGAAAGAAAAAGAGACCCAGCAGGATGACGAGACCTCCTTTTTGATGATGAAGCCGTCATCCCTGGCAACATCCTTCATCAACACACTCAATGACCACAATGTTGACCCCAGTGATCAGGATGAGGCACACCGCAGTGAGGGAAGCTGGCGGGAACATGACCGCAAGACGAGGAAGAAAAGTGCGACTAGTCGCGGACAGGATGGTTGGCCTTGGGGAAATGGGTCCGGAATCTTGGAAGGCGGTTGGGTGAACTGGATCGAGGATGATGATGAGACCGAGGCTTTGTCCAAGAAGTCGGCAGCTGGGTCTCCGGCCAAGGGCGTGTCTGAAGAGGAAATAAGTGTTGATGAGCTTCCAGGAGTATATTCCGAGTTGTCGGATGAGGGTCAGAAACTGGTTCAGGCGCAGATGAAGAATATGAAACACGTTGCCAAGATTTGCTGTGGAGCTACCCTCATGGTACTCACCGGCATTCGGCTTTACTTCTTATGGACCACACTCTCCTGGGCCCTGAACAAGTGCATCTCCTTCGACGTCCTCGAGGACGCACCAGACCAGTTCGACGCCCTCATGGACGCAGCAGACAACGGCAACATCGGCGCTGCAGACCTGCAACTAGACATAGAAGATAACACCCCTCTCAATGCCGCCCCATCCCTCTAAACTACCATCTCTCCATTTCACCGCTAGTCTGTGTGCTCGTTCGACCCATGCTCGTTCGGACCGGCCTATGTTCCTTCATTAGGCCCAGGCTCGTTCGTTAGGCCTATGTTCCTTCATTAGGCACAGGCTCGTTCGTTAGGCCCACTACATATTCTAATTTTGTTGGCACCAAAGTTAGCCACAAGAAAAACATTCCTGGCGTAGCTGCATAGAGCACCCAGCGCTAGATCCGTAGGGCAGGGGCGGACAATCTCACTCAATGAATCCATGAGTTTCGCCAGATTTGCAATCTCTCATTCTCAGTAGGTGTGCGTGCACTGAAGCCAGTTGCTGTACTTGCAAAATTTCGGCTCTCGGTAGCACAGCCATGGCAGCTACGCGACCAGGCCGTGATAGTCGCGGCGGGGCCATGGTGGGGGTTCATTGGTGTTGTGGGATGTAATACAATCATACTCTCGTGCCTTAAATATGGTCCCTCGGTTATTGATTGAAATGTAGCTTTAAATAGTAGCAACAGGGTACGGAAGAAGGGTTTCAAACACATGTTGTGCACGTGGCTGTGGTCCTTCACATTGTAGCCTTCACATCTAAACTTGAGCAGCGCAGCCATCGGCGTATTGATGACTGGCCGCTGTGCACACACGTGTGTGCACACACGTGTGTGTCATTACGGCCGCTCTGCCCACGCCCCCGAGTGCGCCTTCACCCCTGGCGCGACTCGGTGAACAGGTGCACTACTCCGCGTATGGCCTAGACGCGACACCCCAGCATCTAGTGAAGCAATTCGAGACACCAGCCAACGTCGAGACGCCAGCCAACGTCGAGACGCCAGCCAACGTCGAGACGCCAACCAACGTCGAGCAACGGGTGTTGTCGACGTCCGTCGTTGCCTCTCTAATAATGCGCATGTGAAGTGCACCATGTTCTGGCGTTGGGCAGTTTGGTGTTGCAGCTTGGCGTTTGGGGACAGTGAGGTGATAGGGGAGCTGGCTGCTGATGTGATCAATTTGGAGGACAAGGCGGCCCATTTGCAGACGCACGAGTTGGAGGCGATGCCTGACTGCAGTTATTTTGCGAACACGGTCGAATCTTGTGACCCCTTTGCGGCTTACGGAACCTGTCGTTGGTGCAAGACCACCAAGTCCATGAGTTTTCAAATTCCGTTTATAGAGAAATCCAGGGTCTCCTTACGGCCTCAGCAGTGCCCTCCCGTAGAGTCAATTGTGGACGCATACCGGGAACAGTTCCAGTGGCATATGTCTCCAACCAAATACCAGAACACACGTGTGTGTGTTATCCTGCCGGTTCACACTAAAGTCCATTCCTATCACGCCTCCCAGAAACTAGGCGCGACCGCCGGGGGAGCCGGCACTTCCGCCGGCAAGGTCGCCACCTCCTCCGCCGTTCTCGCAGACACCAGCATCGTTCCCAAACATGGCACGGAAACCAAAGAAGTCGACCGCAAAGTCTTGTACATCTCCGCCGGCGCCGCAGCAGGCGTCGTCCTCATCGCCTTGGTCATCTGCGTCATTCAAAAATAGGCCAGCAAGCCGTCGAACCGGCCCGGCAAGAAGCGTTCTGCTCCGAAGCGCAGAAACTTCCTCGGTCGAAGTACGCCCCACCGTCGCCGAAACGAAATCCGCTAGGGGGCAATCCACCGCTAGCCGGCAATCCACCGCTAGCCGGCAATCCACCGCTAGCCGGCAATCCACACCCCCCACCCGAGGGACCGTCATGGGCAAACGCATGGGCGTGGGCGAACGCAGCGTCACGGGGAAATGCAGCGTCACGGGAAACTTGGTCGGCTGTCTCTCCGTCCATAGTCTCAGGAGACAGGACTTCGCCAGAGAGTGTCTTCATAACCTCCAGAAGCATCCACCCATCCCCATCGTCACTCTCTTCTTCAGGCCCCTTCAAAGTGGGGCTCTCTCCATCGGGATGTGCTATCCCGGAATTAAAAGAAGTGTCGCGATTGACCAAATTACTCAACGTCTGAGCAGCGTCTATTTCCAACACTTCATGGCCACTGCCACTGTAGTGTGCGTCTTCATCGCAGTCACCGTGCAGGCCATCACCGTATGCGCAGCTCTCGATGCGTCCTGGATCGACGTCGCAAGACTTGTGGAGGTACCAGTCTGTACGGGCTTCAGTCTGTTCCAGCATGGTACCTAGTTGAACTGTCTCGGACACGGCAGTACGTAGAGCCTGTTGTAGTGAGGCTTCTTTTTGCAGTGCTGACGAGAAATTATTTGACGACGTGTCTTGACGGCGATGAACAGGACCTGCGACAAAGCTTGACTGCCGCAGTGCGCTGCCGGACCTTCCTATACCCGTGCACCGTCCGGCCTTGTGGTTGTCAAGTGGCGTATAGGCTAGCTTGCTGACTGGATCATTTACGGCCAGTCGCTGGTTGGATTCGAACCTGTGGTTGGACCCAAAGCGGTTGTTGGATGCGAGCGAATGACTGGAGGCGAATGAGGGCGTGGATGTAGCCACAGAGCCTTTTGCTAGACTGCTGGGGCTGCTAGGGCTTCTCGGACTGCTTGGACAATTAGTGAGCATGCTATGCAAACTGTGGAAAGAAGGAATCGGCTCCAGGGTCCCTGAATTGGTGGAACACGATTCCAGTACCGCCCTGCCCTTCTTGCCTCTTCCGCCCTTAAGACGCTCAAATGCGGGGTCTCTTGGACCGGGAGGCACAATCGGCGTCCCGCACCCCATCGGGCCTCCATGTCCGAAGTGAAGCAGGCTGCCACTCACCGGCCATAGAACGCTAGGGTCCTCCAACTCCGGGGACGGCAACTTCTCTACCTTGTTAGCCCTCGTTAACTTATTGAGGGTTGAATGCAATCTCTTACCGTGTGTGTTGCCACCTTCATTTGGGGTAGCATGTGCGTGACCATCACCTCTGCGGTCACCATCTTGCGTGCCATTCTTAACCAAATTTGCCAGAAAGGGTGCGTCCGGAAACCCAAGCCCGAATCCCATGCCCCCCATCCACCCTCGGGTCTCACCCGAACCGACTTCTCGAAAACCGTTTCGGCTCGAGCCCCGGCGCGAGTGACTCGCGTCTCCAATACAACGCCTCAAGGCTTTATCCGAACCTCCGGCTCCGATGAGGTTCGGGATGACCGGCTCACTTGCCGCTCCGCTGCGGCTGAAGGCTTCCTTCGAACGCACACCATGGCTCGAACGCACGGCTTCGCTCGACGTTTCGTCTCGAATCACACACTCCAACATGCTCTGCCAGGCCTGGCTTTCTTCTGTACACGACAAATCATTGGCATGGTACGCCGAACCCAAGTGGTCTTGCAAACAGCGCCTAAATGCCGCCGGAGTGACCCCCACGGCTTCATCCACATAATCATCTACAGCACCACAAGCTCACCCCGCCGCTCACATCCGGCCTACCACACCCGGTACCCCCCCACCCTACCACACCCCGGTACCCCCCCCCCCTACCACACC